AATCCACCAGATGCTCTGCCGGGGAAGGAGGGGCAATCTCCTCCTGTACCAGTCAGATTTGATTTGACAGTACACGCACACAAAAATAATAAAATAAAAAAACATTAAAAAAAAAATTTTAAGACTCACATACAAAGTCTGTTCTCTGACCACTAGAGTGAAGCTAGACACCAGTAACAGAAAACAACCCTAAGACATGTAAGCACATGGAAATTAAATCACATACTATTGAACTCCAAGTGTAAACTGAATGACTATTTCTGATTTCATTAACAATCAGCTGTGGGCTGGAAATCTCTTGTTTAAGTAAACATGATCTGGGGATGGGCCTTTGTATTTATAAGTCACTTGGTCAAAACGGCCCAGTGTTAATTATGCTGGAAAGAACTTTTTTCTAAGTGGTACAGCACTTATCTGTCAGTTTGCTGTATTGAGATAACTTGGGGTTTCTATGATACTGAAATCTGTGTGAATGGTGTGTCAAATGCCATAAGAGTTACCCATGGTGAACAGATTTTGGTGGAGTTCCCTAATCAAGACAGACTAGGAAGTAGGATGGGCCATCTACTTCCTAAGTAACAGACCTTTGAAAACACTATGAACCAGATGGATGAATTGACACAGTGAGTGCGTAAATGTGCTCTTGTGTGTCAGGAAGAATGAGGACTGCACAGGATATAGTTCGAATCTTTTGTTCATAGGGTCATTATGAGTCATACTTGACTCGATGGCACACAAGAAGAATACTGAACTACAATGGGTAAAGAAAAAAATAAAAACATAAGAAATTTCTTACCATTAAATTAAAATGAAAGTACAACACACCAAAGCTTATTGGAAGCAGTGAAAGCAGTACTCAGAGGGAATCTTAGAATAGCTGATGCTGATATGAAAAATTCATAATTAGGTGTGCCTGATTCAGACAGTGGTCTTTCTAATCACTTGCTAGGCATCTGAGAGCAGGATAATGAATAAGGATGATGGAAGAAAAAAAATCAAAGTTACTGAGCTGGGATATTAAAAGAGTGCTGAACACCCCACGGACTGCCAAAAGAACGAACAGATATGTTTTAGAGAAAGTAAAACCAGAGTGCTCCTTAGAGACAACGATGACAAAGCTTCAACTCACAAACTTTGGGGATGTTGTTATGAGAGGCTAATTCCCTGGAGAAGAACATCATGCTTAGAAACGGTGGGGGATAGACAAAAGTGAAAAAGACTCTCAATCAGAGAGATTGACACAGTGACTGCCGCAATGGGCTAAAGTATGTCAGA